CATAATTGGCGGCTATTCAAGTTGATAACGAGTTCTTATTCATGGGAGGGACAAACCTGCAAAATAGAGCACAATACACTTTACATGGCCATATCAGAACATGAGTATGCCCAAAACATTAGACAAATAATAATTATGTAAGCCGTACCACAACAAACTATGCTACCTACCACGTTTTTCTGGAGATCCATCTCAAGGAACAACCTGTGCTAGGAAGCTATTTCAGGGGGCAACGGTAGAGGAACTAGCAGAGCACTGCCCATTAAGGTGTCATGGATCATCCCTGATGATCATCACGGAAATTGGATTGGAACAATACACTCTGACACATCCAAAAGAAGGAACCACGATCAAATGCCCAAAAGCCACTGTACACCTACAAAAAAACATAATAGAATTACCAGGGGCAATTAAACTATCCTTACCTTGCAATTGTGAGGTACTCCTTAACGAAGAATTACTGATCCCACAAAGGTTCCCTTGTTCCAAATCCCTAAAAAACAACGTCTCCATAACACACGTACTACCAGCAACATGGACCACATTGAAAACGTTTATCCTCAACCCTACAGCCAGTACTCTCCTGCCAACGTTCCAAAACATGCAGGAATGCCTAAACCATAACTGGTCCCTCACGATACCTCACTTGAATCTAACTTCAAGTAACAAACTGCTAGCTGAAATCAGAGCGAATCTTAAAGATACAGCAAGCCCAGGCCATGACACATATGTGTGGCATACGGAGAAACACAGCATAATGTTCATATGGAATATTATACTATCACTATTGGTGTCATACCTGATGTTCCATTGACCAACAGCCATGATGCAAGGATTGATGCCACCCCCAGTCAGGGGACAAATACCCTAAGACAAAAAATTGGAACACGATGCAGTATTTTACATAACCTGGGCGGTATTTACAGTGTTTCTACTATACCTAATAAGCAGATTAATAGCCAAGTACTGGGAAAAATACAAAAACTCACCTACAACCAACTATAATTCACCACCCGGAAGAACCTTCATCCTTGAAATCCCGGAATTAGCCTCACTGGAAAATCTGTCAGCCAACGCCGCTATACAATGTGAATTATCAGAAACACAGCAACAAAGCACAACCAAAATGACGCCACACTGCCACGGTACAACGAACAAACAACCAGAGTGCAACATCAACAAAAAACACCGGCCTGCAAAATGACACCTAGAGGATATCATATACCCAAAGATAAGTGCTATTAAATTATTATTAAATTATATTTTAGTTTTGTGTAGGTAATTAAGTGTAGAGGTAGGTCAGTTTTAGCAAAACAAAGAAATACAGAATTGAATATATTTTTTTATTATTATTTTTATTTTTTATTATTTATTTTTTAAAAATATATAAAAATTATGGGGTGCCTTAGGGTTAGACGCCCCGAAATAAAAACAAGTCGGCCACACACCGGACCCATCGTAATAAAAACCTGCCCAGGGGGAAGACGAGGCGGCCAACAATCATCGGCTTATTGCCGAACCAATAGTATCTCGGGATGGTACTCCTGAAAACAAAAAAAAAATAATAATAACACAATCTATTTGGAATAAGCAGAGGCTGTGGCAGAGGTACATACCCTCGGCAGGTCGGGATACCGCCCCCTGAAGATAACCATAACACGCCGCCTAAGGCGCGTTTGATAGCGGCCTGGATCTATTGAAAAAAAAAATAAAAAAAAAAAAAAAAATAAAAATAATATATATATATGAGTACATAATATATAAAAGAGGAAGTAAAAGGAAATGAAATATGTATATAAATTTTTTTTGGGCTACTTACATTCCATATTTAAATATTCAAACTGATACTCACCAAAGGGGTAATTAACAATTTATAGGTATATTTAGTCAATTAAGCATAACATAATAAATAAATTCACACATACAGGAGGTAAGAAATTTACTAACACTTTGATCTTATTATTACAGGGGCCGAAACGAGAGAAAAAAAAAAAGAGGGAAAGAAATATTCCCGGACAAGCAGCTAGGAGCCAACAGAAGGGGTACTGAGATACCAAATTCTTTTCATATATAATGTATATATTGTTTTAACTAGTACTTTTATAGAATAAGTAAGATTATTGTAAAGGTATGGTCACATGATTCTTAGCGTTGGGGGCCGATTTATCGACAGTCAGCGGTTTGAGCAGGTCAACGCGTAAATTATGTTTACACGAAATGAATATAAAAACCCGATACAACCATGGTATCGGCATCCATTCGGGTCTTTCTCTTCTCAGGGTCTCCTTACCCCAGGAAGCATTAACCCCTTCGGATCACTCTCTCCTCAGGGTCACCTTACCCAAGGGAGCAGTAGCTACATTCCTCTTCAGGGTCACCTTGCCCCAGAGCGTCTTACCCTCCAGCAGGGTAGCGTTGCCTATACGTGCAGAACCCGTATTCCTACATAGAGCCCCAGCACAAGAGTCATGTGGTACACCTACGTAGTGCTCCTTTGGTAATGTACCTATTGGACGATAATATATACTATTCTCGTTGTAGTTGTGTGTTTTCCTGAAGAGCAAACCCTAACCTCAGGTCTAACCCTCACGAGCCGAAAGGGCCTTGTGTGACAATATACTATACTTTAACATTGAGAAAGCCAAAGATTGACCCATTCATACCTTTAGAGATTTTAGGTCTTTTGATCAAGTACTATTTGATACAGACCTACGAAATATTGACTTTTCTCCAATTTTCTTGGAAACTGATATTGACGTGAAGCTCTCGACTTTTAATCAAATAATTTTGAATTTGTTTTGTAATTACGCGCCAATTGAAAATGTGAAAATTGCAAAACCAGCGGCACCATGGCTAACAGACAACATAAAGCTTTTAGGTGCACAAAGAGACATTTTTCTACTAAAGACTACTTTCGATTTCTATAAAACACTAAAAAATCACGTGAACTATGCTATAAAACGTGAAAAAAAAGGCTTATCTAGAGTACAAGTGCCGAGCTACCAACAAAAAAACCACGTGGAAGGATCTCAATAAGTTGGACATTTATTCTAGGGTCAAATTCGCTACTCCCAGCGAGCTGAACATCCCAGAAGATGTCAACAACTTTTTTTATAAATGTGTCAACTTCAAAAAGTACCCCGTGCACGGATTTGATTGAACATTTTTTAGGTAGCAAATTGAATAATGTTCTACCCGAATTTAACTTTTCTCTGACCTCTGAGAATGATATTTTCAATAATCTGTTATTGTTTATCGATTAAGTCTAGGGCAGTAGGTGTTGATCAAATAAGTGTTGAAATGTTATTAAGATGCTGCCCAGGTATTCTTTCTGTGTTGAAACATATTTTCGATTTTTGCATTTTATTTAGCGTTTACCTCAGTATCTGGAAAAAAGCCAGTGTGATCCCTCTCCCTAAAAACGTAAGTCCCGAAAAACTTGAAGATCTGCGCCCAATAAGTATCCTTGGTGCACTGTCAAAAGTTTTCGAGGAGGTTATCGAAAAGCAAATCCGAATTTTTGTAGGTGCACATAATATTTTACCTGAGTGTCAATCGGACTTTAGAAAACATCATAGCTGCACAACAGCTATGGCAAAGGTTACTGATGATATCCTAAAGGGTATAGATGACAACAAGCTGACAGTACTGCGGTGCGATTTTCGAAACCATTCGAGTACATTTCGTACACGAAATTTGACTGACAGCAATGTAAATTAAATGGGGAGCATTGGAAATCGTATCAAATTTCGTATGCGAGAATATTCGGAAATACGACCCTTGGTCATGATTGATTATTCCGAGACCTTTGACAGGATTAACCACAACATATTTTTGGCATTATTAAATTACATAGGTTTTGCCAGTGGTGCGATTGATCTTATTAGGGGTTATCTCTGTGAAAGGAGCCAGTCGACTAGGATTGGACAGGTAACATCCCCTTTCAGGACGCTTGTTTCTGGTGTACCCCAGGGTTCCGTATTGGGTCCACTTTTTTTTACATTGTATGTACATATCTCAGTTTCCTAAAAGTTTACAGTACATATACTATTTCACATAACTTCGCCGACGATGGCCAAGTTTACAAGTCTTTTTTTGCGGAAGATATTATTTCAAATAGTTGTGAACAAATTAATGAGGATCTGAAAAACCTCGTCAACATATCTTCGATTTATTGCCTTGATATAAATCCTAGTAAGTCGCAAGTTATCTTGTTTGGTAGAAAACGTGCTGGAACTAGGTGTGGGGACCAGGTTAGAATTATTGTAAGACTGGAGACACAATGACAAATACAAGATACAAGTGACAAGAGACAAAAATATAATAACACGTGTATCAATGCTATAACCCGGAATAAATGGGTACAGGATACAATTTACTTGCCATGACTACAGGGCAGCCGCTAGGGTGTTGGCCACCTGTGTGCCCAGACAATTTTCGCCGCCCCACTCCCCTCTCAAATACAAAACCAACACGGTTGGAGTGGAATACAATTTATGTAAATTTTTACCTTTTTCTAGCAAACTTGTAAAAATCAATTTTTTTCAATCATAAAACATAAAAAGTCAATGTCCAAATATAAAATAAAAATAAACAAAATTCAATAATTTTTAACGAAATCGTTTCAAAAATAAAATTACAAAAATTGGTAATATTCTAGAAACTATAAATTAAACTGACATACATTTTCAACAAAAAACTTACCTTATAATGGTGAAATGAAGCACCGGCAAAGTTTACACCGGGGAGCTTTAAAACACTTCTTAAATTGTTTTTAGGATGATAGTTAAAATTGCACTCCTCGAGATTTTGTTTCTGAAAATTTTTTCAACACACTATTAAGGTCTATGGTATCGCACAATTCGTGTTCAATAGAGAGAGTTGCCAAAGCCGATAATCTTTCCTGACTCATAGATGACCTAAGATAGTTTTTTATCAACTTGAGTTTGGAAAATAAACGTTCTCCAGTTGCCACAGTGACTGGTAATGTCAAAAAAATTCTAATTAGCACAGTTAAATTGGTCTCTCAAGGCTAGTTCCGCTTCGGCACAGTGGGCTTTCAATTCATTGTCTCTAAGATCACCATATTCATGTATATTATATAATATTTTAAAGATGTTAGTATGTTCGTATAATAGTTGAAATCTCTCATTTACAGCTATAATCGTTGCATCCAAAATTTCAAAGTAAAAGTTGACTTTAAAAGACATCTCTGGATCCAAAATGCTTTCATCCTCGTGTTCGTAATCAAAATGTCTTTTTCTTTTTCCAATACGTTTTGCTGCAAGAGCAGGAAATTCTCCTTCTAGTTCAACATCGGAAGCAATTTGCTTTGCAGCATCCATCAATATTTTGAAATGTTCGTCACATCTTATCTGAACAAAGTAGTCTTTTAAATTTTCTAGGGCTTCGGCTGAAGATTTATTGTTCAGTTTTGGACTTTGAATAAGTTTACTCACCACGTTGACTTTACTAAGAATTGCATGCCAGATTATTGTGGAATAGCTATTTACCTAACAAGTGCGGAAAATGAATTTTTCCGCACGCGGCTGCCGTTCACCGAACGACGCGTAGCGGAGTTCGGTGATGCAGCCGAGTGCGGAAAAATATTTTCTGCAAGTTTTAGGTACAATATTTTTCCTACAGGCGAAAAAATGTGAAATTTTTCTTTTTTTTTTGACATATCAGTGCGGTAAAATTTTTTCCGCACTGACAGCCGTGCGGAAAAACTTTTTCCGCACTGATATGTCAAAAAAAAAAGTTTTACCGCACTGTGCGGGAAAACTCATTTTCCGCACGCATATCAGTGCGGAAAATCGATTTTTCCGCACGGCTGTAGGAAAAATATATATTTGATTTTTTTACCCAATGAATTTGCCAGAGTTCTCGTATTCATATCTCGAGTTGCATCATGTTTTAATTCTGCTAAAGCATCATATATTTCACCTTATTGTGTTTTAAGTGGTGTGATTGCTTCTATACGACTCTCCCATCTTGTATCTGATAATGGCTTTAATGTAAGTTTCGGAATATGCGCTAATAAAACACTCCATCTATAATTTGATGCTGAGAAGTAAACGTACAATTTCTGAATTAAATTGAAAAAATCAACTGATTCAAAGCTTACTGTAGCTGCATCGTTCACAACGAGATTTAAACTGTGAGCTGTACAAGGTATAAAAAATGCACGGGGATAAGCGTCCAAAATTTTGTTTTGTAGTCCTATGTGTTTTCCTCGCATATTCGCTCCATTGTCATACCCTTGTCCACGTAAATTATGCATATCCAGTTTTAACTCTTGTAGTTTTTTCACAATAAACTCATATAATCCAGACCAGTTGTATCTGTAATTGGGCAGAATCCCAAGAAATGTTCATAAATCCTAATTGGGGTGGCGCAAGGAACACATCGAATTATAACAGTTATTTGTTCAGTATGTGAGATATCTGGGGTGCAATCAAGAATTATAGAGAAATAATTTGATTGTCGTATTCTGCCTAATATTTTTTCTTGTATAGTTGTTGCCAATAACTGAAACATTTCGTTTTGATGTTCCCAGCCTAGATAGTGAGGCGCGTTTTTGTAATGTTGGGACTGCACTCTACTTAAGTGTTCGGACAGCGTCAAATTTGGAAATCATTTGAGTCAATTGAAGGAAATTTTCGTTATCTGGCTGAAACAAATTTTATGATGAACCCCTAAAGGCCAAGCACTGACGAGATAAATATCTGACAATAAGCATCAATCTTTCAACAACGGTGCGCCAATGACTTTTTTCCAGTTCGTATAATCGCTGATTGGAGGAGTCGATTGTTGTGAACTTTTTCAGTACTACACTCAAATCATGCATTTCTTTAGTATATTTAATATGGCTCAAACTGCTCTCATGCCTTTTCAAAATCAAAGATAAGTGTTGCCAATCTTTCACTTCTCCTGCACCATAGATATGTTCCTTTTTCTCTTTTATCGTGACATCGGTGCAAAATAGTTTACAAGGAGCACAGAAAACACTATTTAAAGATAAAGAATATAATAACCAAGGACGGTGGATTTTTTCACCATTGCTTAAAATACGATAAAAATATGACTCCGAAATTTTTTTGTTTTGCTTATCTCTGGGAAATGCTATGTTTTGAACTTGTTTTGGGAAATTTTCAATTATATATTGTACCTGACTGTGGGTTAGGTTTATAAGCCATTTACCAGGATCGTCAGAAACTAGGCAAATAACGTCGTCTTTTTCTGGAGATTGAAAAGTAGTTAAAGCCTCCACATCCATACCTTTTTCAGCTGCCTCCTCTTTTTTGTCCTTCTTCCCTCCTTCCTTTTCCTCTTTTTCGTGACTGTGATCATCAACATCATGACTTTTTTCAGTAAACGGAATGTCTTTGTCAGCTTCCCAGCACACTACAGATTCATCACTAAGGCACCCGATGCCCACTGAGGTTGATGCACCAACATTTACATTGTCGTTATTATTACTCACATTTCTTGAAATCTCAGTCTCAGTTGCTGAATTGTCACTTTCAAGTACATTGTCATTATCACTTCCAGTTCTCAAATATTTTTCTAAAGCACCACTTTGTTTTTGCTGTTCTTCGAGCCTCGCTTGCTTCTTTTGTTTTTACTGATAGCCTGACAGTCTTTTGGTTTTTCTGTCAGACATTTGTTCGTGCCGAAAATAAAAACCTAAAGAGTAGGTAGGTAGGTATACAAAATTGCACTACACCGAATTTACGCAAGTTTACGTAAAAAGTCTGCGAGTTTTATAACCTCGCTCGCACTTGTAACGATAGACGAGACGCCAACCGTTCAAAGTAACCCATGCGTATTAGCCGACAATTGGTCATTTTTGCGCGCTAACAAACAAACTAGTTTGGTCGGCTGTAATGTTCCGTTCCGGGTGCGTCTGTCGCCGACATTTTATAGGTCTGTTCGTACGAAAATCACAATCAGTAGTGTATGATGGTTCGTTCTGCATCCTCCGACGCCTCCGACGCCTCCGTGACGTCTGCGCATGCGCCAACCAGGGCGTCGCGACGCCGTGACGTCATCAGTCAGCTGTCATCTGTCAATGTCACCTGTCAATGTCACCTGTCAATGTCAGTCACCTGTCAATGTCAGTCATCTGTCAATGTCAGTCACCTGTCAATGTCACCTGTCAATGTCAGTCAGCTGTCAATGTCAGTCACATATCAATGTCATCTGTCAATGTCAGTCAGCTGTCAATGCCAGCTGTCAATGTCAGCTGTCAATGTCAGCTGTCAATGTCAGCTGTCAATGTCATCTACCTGAACTACTCCAACTTACCCGCTCTCTGCGCCATCTATAAACCCCGTATAACATTACTGTGTATTTTTTATATTTCTACATGTACAGATGAAAAAAAATACGTGAATTTATACATGAAGAAATATAAAGAAACAGATGGGCAAAAAAAAAAAAAATACTAACCTCAAACAATTTTTTATTTAAAAACATACATTTTTTAGACTCAACTAAAAGCGACATTTGGTTTGGTCGTCCTACATCCTTCTGACCTCTGTATATTATTGAATATTTTCCATCCATAAACTGCTCATCTTCCAATGGTGGTACGGAAGAAACACTGCCTTATCGTCATGATTGATTTCAAATCCATATCTAAAAAATATTCTGTAGGTATTGATATTAGTATATAAAAGATTTACTTACTTGTTAAAAAAAATGTGTTTTGGTTTCATCGTCCTACATCCTTCTGGCCTCTATTATTGAATATTTTCCATCCATAAACTGCTCATCCTCCAATGGTGGTATGGAAGAAACACTGCCTTATCGTCAAGTTCAATAAGGATACTCGGTCCGAATTTACTTTGGGTTTTTAGCAGAAAATATTGGGCTGCCAGGCTTTTGTAATTTCACAAGTGTTTTTTTGAAGAGTCGGGTCTCGTTGATTGATTTCAAATCCATATCTGAAAAATATTTTGTAGGTATTGATATTAGTATATAAAATATTTACTTACTTGTTAAAAAAAAAAAGTGCAATATAATAATTATAATGTCCACTGGTCGAGATATGGAAAAAGACTGATTTGTGTAGGCTTAAAGCATATGATGCCATTGTTTAGTCTACGGGCGCGATTAATACTGGAAAAATAAATAACGATAAACAAACTCGGTAATACACTTAGTTAATGTATCCGACCGCGGACCATTTTTTTTTTTTCAAAGAATTTTACGACGTAATTAAAACCTCTTGTCTTGAAAACATTGAAACGAACTTTTGTCATACCGCTGCGTATGATATCGCAGATCAAGGTACTCTTGAAAATGAATATATTATGCACAAGAAGGAAGCGTCGAGATCCCCGAGTCTTTAATAAGAAAATTATTTCGCTTATACGACAGAATTCAACTTCAAATCCCAATTTTTCAGAACCTTTACCAGTTGAACCATTCGAAGTAAATCAATTTTATCAGTGCGGGAAATAATAAGTATAAAAATGCCAAAAGAATTAGACAATAAAGGCTAACTTGAAATATTTAAGACTGGAACACTGTAATTTGGAAGAAAAACAAGCCGTCAACTATGTCTAGAATATAGAAACATCTTCTATTGTGAAGACCTACCATTGAGTTTTACGAATGTTAAAACATCAAATTAACTAACGAAACACCAATTTTTGCCAAAATGTACAGATACCTCGAAATAGACCGACAAGAAGTTAAGACTCAATAAATTATTGGAACAAAATATGATTAGAGAGTCAAATTCACCATTTTCAGCTCCTATATTAATAGTACCAAAGAAACTTGATAAATCTGGAAAACCGAAATTTAGATTATGTGTCGATTATAGGAAGTTGAATGAAAAAACTGCCGATGTTAAATTTCCATTACCATCAACGAAATTCTAAATAAATTGGGAAAAGCCAAATATTTTTTCGACTTTAGACTTAGCAAATGGATACTATCAAATTGGATGCAGAAGACGTTCATAAAACAGCATTTAGTACTGATTTAGGACAGTTTACCAGAATGCCCTTCGGAACACAGCAACATTCCAGAAAGCAATGAATAATATCTTGCGCGGATTGCAGAATGAAATTTGTTTTATTTACTCGGACGATATAATAATTTGTAGTAGCAGCTTACAAGAACACTTACGGAAAATTTTCGACAGTGAAGCTAAATTCAAAGTACAACTAGACAAATCTGAATTTTTGAGATCCGAAGTTCTGGACTTATTGTAACCAAACACGGGATTAAACCAAACCCAAATCGCCGCTATTAAAGACATAAAATCTTTTCTTGGTTTAGTTGGTTATTACAGACGTTTTGGTAGAATCATCAATAAATAGTATAATTGTAAAATAAAACAAATTCTATTTTAGGGTTATCATCATTGATTGAGACCATAGTTATTTTATGGATAAACTTGTATTTTGTATTATGATAGTAATAAAAAACTTTTTTAAATTTCTTGCATTATTTGAATAAAAAAGTCATCGATCCTTAATACCTTTACTTTGGTGGGTGATCTGCAACAAAGGCGTAAAGACAATTACCTAAAGCTACTTTTACACTTGGAAAGTACTTTGCCGTCACTAAACTTATTCATTGTTGATTAAGGTACCAGTAAATCTTGAAAATGGGTATATTATGCACAAGAAGGAAACATCGAGATCCCCGAATCTTTAATAAGAAAATTATTTCGCTTATACGACAGCATTCATGTTCAAACCCAAATTAATTTTTCAGAACCTTTACCAGTTGAACCATTCGAAGTGAATCAATTTTATCAGTGCAGAAAATAATAATTATAAAATGCCAAAAGAATTAGACAATAAATTAAAGGCTATCTTGAAATATTTAAGAGTGGAACACTGTAATTTGGAAGAAAAAACATGCCATTCGTCAACTATGTCTAGAATATAGAGACATCTTCTATTGTGAAGCACGTTTTGAAATTAGCTGTGGTATACCTATCCAGTATTAGGACGGACGGAGGATTGAATGATTTTATGACACACTTACCAGGATAGCAGTAAATGCGTATGCGAAAAAATAATTTAGATCAAACAGTTAAATAGCGTAAGGATATGAGAAAACTAACTTCGCACATTCTTGAGCAGCCGACCCACCGAATTCAGCAAACATTCGTACACGTAAACGAGAAGAAGGAGTTTTAGAACTGGTTTTTTCCTTCAACAAATCACGGTAACTATGGAAATAACATAGAGGACTAAAATATCACACTTTCAAGTTGAAACTGGAAGTAGCCTATAAGGGGTCCAAATAGCCTCAGTAAAGTGCTAGAAAGTTACCGGTTGCCACTACCACCCTCTGCTCATGATTTGGTCATTTGGGTTTTCAGGCATCCTGAACAAAAATTTCACAGAATTCCAGGAAAAAGAAAGCGATGTGTATCATTTCAATTGCAGTGTTATATACTAATCAATGTCTCTTACAGGCTGGATGCTCCAACAACTTTAAGCTCTAAATATAGGTATTAATAGGATCATATCCATCTTAAAGCCTATTCATATCTGCCAGTACTAGGATAACCTGTAACGTCATGGGAGTTGCCGAACATCTGCCAAGATCTGCAATGTGGTGGAATTTTTAAATCATTTCATCCACAAATAACATGGGTTGAGGAAAAAAGTATTCCAGTACTTCCAAGCTAGATATTCAGAAATTAGCAGTTTATACGAATTACTTTCAGAGCAGTACGTTCGCGGATTTTGTTCGCAGGCGGAAATTCTGGATCTGTTTCTATTTAAATACTCAATATCTATTGGAAAAAAAAAATTCAAGGGTGACGATAAAGACGTATTTCATTTTTATGATTATGAATATTGCTACAATTTAGATGGTAGTCGCACTCACAGTCCTATTAACCATATTGGCAATGATTGTTGAGAATAAAAATAAGTAATGTTTAATTCTCCTGAGAATGATAGAGATGAAGCCACCATTGATCTCTGTATACCACCAACCCAAACCCACAGTCAAATAGCGCCAGCGCACACTTAACATAAATATCATACAACTTATATGGAGAGTGATTCGAGAAACGCGTCACGGGCAAATTTCGTTACTCGAGAGAGAAGAAAGATGTAACGTTAAGGAACAGAGAAAGACAGCTATTGATTGACACAAACCAAGGATTATAAGCGTCGAGGGGAGTACCCATTATTGACAAGCGCTGATATTGACACAAACCAGGGATTATAAGCGTAAGGAGGATTACCTATCTAACAAGCGGTATTGGAAAAATAAAATCATTTCTGACGAATTTCGGGGTTTTCCGGATATCTCTGGACAGCACTCGGAATTTTTAAAATATCAAAGCAGCATAATAATGAGCACAAAGTTGCACTATATTTTTTTTCTGATTCAACCGACGTCGGGTCTCTTTCCGTAGGATTCCAATACAGGATTCGAATAGGATTCAAAATACCTAGTATTCGAATGCTACCCAAGTCTCTCAAAGTACCAAGTGTTATCATAGGAGTTTATAACATGCCGCATTAGTAAT